TATTGGTAAAAACCAAAAATTTAAGGTTTTCCCCAAACCCAAGGGTTTTGTGGCCCCCTCCCCGAGGGGCTTTTTTTTTTTTTTTTTTTTTTTTTTAAACCAGGCAACATCATAAATATCTTTTGGAAGGATTTTGTACTCACCTGTACAAGGTGGGACCTCGATGAACTGTGAGGTGTCTCTTGAGCTGGGCCAGGGTGGGGAAGTCCAGACCACACTCCACACACACATTCTCCTGCCCTTTTTCGTGCTTCAGCTCGTGGGCGCGAAGCTCGCTGGGATAAGCGAAGCCTCTGCCACACACACTGCAGCTGCAGGAGTTAGAAAATGGACGTTAAAGTGACAGCAGAGTGGCAATAAAGAGCTGAATTTTACCTGCACTACAAAGGCACAAAATATTACCAAATAATTTTGGTTTAGTTTCTAGTTTAAATACCTTGAAATAAGACAAAACTAACTTACAAGTAACTTTTCAGCAAGATATAGGGCAGGAGTTTAACACTAGTACTTTTTCATCAATATTAAGTTACTTAAAACAAACTCCAATATCTTGCTGAAAAGTTACTTGTAAGTTAGTTTTGTCTTATTTGAGGTGAACTAAGCCATTTTCCAGATGTCTACCTGTATGGCTTCACGTCGCTGTGCTGCATCATGTGTCTCTTCAGGTGGCTCGTCTGGGTGAAAGCTTTGTGGCACACCTGGCACTTGTGAGGCCTCATGCCCTGGTGTGTGAGGAGGTGTGTGTGCAGGTGGCTGAGCTGCTTGAACAGCTTCCCACAGAGGTGACAGCCGTGCGGCTTGATCCCGTTGTGGCCCAAGATGTGCGTGACCAAGTTGTACTTGGACGTGTAGGATTTCTCACACATCCGGCACTTCCATCTCTTCTGGTCGCCGCCGACGTCCACATAGTAGCTGTCATCTACATGGACGTTGAGACCCGCCTTCTCGGCGTTGGTGGTCTCACCGCGGGGAGCTTCGTCACGTGGGGCCTTGCTGGAGCGGGGGTCCTCTCTGGGGTAGAAGGGACCGGGTGGGATGTGCATGACGGGCCCAGGCATGAAGAAGGGGTACGGGAAAGGGCCGTGAGAAAGAGGAGGGAAGTAAGGCGGGTGGAGGAGATGGAGAGGTGAGGAAGGCCAAAGAGAGGATGGACTGGGAGGCTCCTGCTTCACCTGCACAGGGAGACTCAAACCTGCTGATCTGCTGTGAAGCTGCAGCCTATTCAGCTCAATCATCCCAGGTATTGGTCGAGAGGGCATGGAGGAAATGGAGCGAGGTGGAAGCGAGAAGGGGACATGAGAGATGTCCAGCTTCTTCTTGCTCCTGCTCTGTTCTGCCTCCTCCTGTTGTCCATCAGGCGACTCTTCCCCCTGGGCGCCCGCTTTGAGATGAAGCCTCTTCTTTTTTGGGAATCCTTCTTTGGGAACGTAACCGAGGCCGGGCACGGGGAAGAACGCCGGCGTGGTGAGAGCGCTGTAGGGATCGATGGTGGGGTAACTGGGTAAAGAGAATCTTGGGGGCTTAATATAAAGAGGGGCTGGACCCAAGTAGAAACCCCGCTGAGGTGCTTGTCTAAGCCTGTCTCCTTGAGACGGACTGTCGCCTGGTGAGAAGTTCACAGTGTCTTTCTCCATCGTTATTCTACAGAAAACAGAACAAGCAGCTGTTAGACCTGAGGTGTCCAAAGTGTGGGGGGCCATTATGGGGAGGGATACAAATTTGACCCCAAAGTCAAAGGTCATTTGATGTGGACCTTCTATTTTTAATCAGGACAAAATTATCACAAAGTAAAATCATCTTACAATAGAACATACTGGCCAGAACACAAAAAGTAATTGTGTTTTTTGCCTTCTCTTGCAAGAACCTGTGAAGTTTACTCAAAAGTAAACTTTGCTGCACCAAAAATTAGCTTTTAGTTAATTTAATAAACTTGGCTAAATACAGCAAGCATTATTCAAACAAGATTTTATTGATCAGAATTCATTAAATTGTGTTCTGTTATTCCCCCCCCCCCCCATGAAACTTCATAAAAATGAGAGGATGTACAGTTATTATACACAAGCCACTGGATAGA